CCCGCGTAGTTAACTACATTGAACTACCTTGAAACCGCTTTTGGCGCATAACAAGGCTTAGATAATCAATTCTTCTCTCGCTCTATACCAGTGAAATGAAATTCTCTAAACTTGATTTATATAAGTGTGGAAAATTGTAAAAGAATTTAATTTGAATAAGTGAATGATATTTCTTTATATACTACGAAAGCGTGAAAGATTAGAACTACAAAGCTGTAAATGTAAATGAAAGCAGTAATCTAATCTAAGAAAGCAGTAAAAAAAACGTGACCAAGGGAGAGGGGAGACCCCTACTCCCTTGGCCATTCCTGTGGAGAACTCCCTTACAAGGTTGGAGCTCTCTGAAACAGGAAGACGACGAATGTTAAAAGTATGCAAAAATCACCAAAAAATTCGATCCCTTACATAAAGATATCTGGCCCCATTTATAGCATGTGTAAAGAGACGGTTGCAAGTAGTTGTTAGGCAGTTCCAACCGCTGGGCAATTAGGCGGTTGCTGGTAGTTATTCTGTTGAAGCAGTTGCTGGCCATAACTCCCAGGATGCCCGCTTCGCTTGCGTTGAAGGTTAAGGGCACATATCTTCCTCGCTTGCTGGAAAGCTGGAGGGCATCAGCGCAGCTCGGCTTGCTTGTGCTGGCTGGAATTGGAATGGCTGTACCGCTGCAGTTGAAGTACTTAGTTGAAATCTGGTGATAGTCTGCAGCAGTGGGTATCTAGACTGTCGCTTGCAAGTGGGAGAGGCTATCGCTTGCAGGCTGTGAAGGTGGCCGCTTGCCTCTCATGCCTTAGTATTTTCAAAATATGTTTTGGGCGCTTGTGAGCGAAGGCGGCTGTCGCTTGCTGCGTCTGCCTTAACTTTTCTGGTTCCAGATTACCGCTTAAGAGGGCAAAAATCGTTAATAATCTCAACAACGAACTCAGGATCATGCCTAGTGATATAAATCAATATTGTATGCCGATTACGAATTATTTTGATGGTTCTTATGCAGAAATTCGAGTAATACACATTTTTGTCAAGCTAAGAATATGCTCATATTTGGAGTCATCAGTCCTATCGAACACAAAATGTATATTTCTCTTATGGGTAAATTGCATAATACTTAATTATATTTTAGTAAAACTAAATAAACATACCTTGTATTCTATTTATTAAGTAAAACTCTTATGTTAAATTTAAGGCTAAATTAAAAAAAATTTGCCCGTAGATTCACAAAATTACGTAAAATCCCTCGTACTTTCAAAACTGCAACAAACTCTTTCGTGATTTCATAAACTCTGTATCTAACCCCTCGACTGTCCTTATTTAACTTTATTTGACTGGCAAGCGCTCAAAATGCAAATAAGTTTCAAAATCTTCATTTCTAAACCTCGAAATTGCAAATATACGCATTATTCTTATTATTTAACATTAAGAAATAGTCAATATAGTTAGAAAGAGTTATTTTTCTCTGATTTTAGTTTTTTTCAATGTTTTCTAATGCTAAATATAAGAGAATTTATTTCAAAATTTATTAATTTTAATTATAAAAGATAAAAATAAATGTCAACGGAGTATATTATGATAAAAATAATATTCGGCCCGCCTCTAAAGTTATATTTACCTTTTGCGTCACTGTACTTAACATTAAAAATATCATTATATTTATATAATTTTTTGTATAAATGTTCTTCTATTTAGTATTATAAAATACTAATAGAAATATTTTTGCAATTTTTTTTAATTTGTACTATATTTTGATATAATAATTAACATTTAAAGATCAACATGCAAAAAAGTAAATTAGACCCGTAAAGTCGGACGAAGATAGTAATTTTTATTGATAAATAGAATTTTGTAAGTTAAACATATACTTATTATCTTATTTTATTATATATTTAAAAATAATTAAACAAAAAACTTATATGCATCGGATTCAACCGGGCCGGGCTGGCCCGGTCCACAGAAGGAATTAAATCATTTGGATAAATTGATTTAAAGAGTACTATATATTGAGGGTGGAAGAGAATGAATTGATTACAAGAAAATAATGAATATGGGAAAATTTTAGTAAAGTAAAAATCTGTAAAAAAAATAAAATATTGTCATATTTAATTTTTGGGTTTTTTTACTAATAATTTATATGTCATTATTATGAGATCGAAATAATATATTCTTTTAAAAAAAGTTAAATAGTAAATAATAAATAAATAAATAAACACACATTCATGTTCTTAATTATTTATTTTTCAATTATTATTTTTTTTGACTAAAAAAACAATATAAATGGTGACATTTTTATTTTTCTATCTCCATTTTCCTTGCACTACACATCTCTGGTGTCGCTGTGTGTTTGGCTGAGAAATCGAGAAAAATTCCAAAACATAAATAAAGATATGTTTGTTTAATTAGTGTTTTAATTTGATTTTTATTATTTGATAGATTAAATTGTGTCGATGGTATATCTTGCATTGCTTATTAATTTTTTATGAAATATATATATATATATATTATATTGGGGTAAACTGATTTTTTAGTCCATTAACTGGACCTTTTATTATTTTAGTCTCGTGAGTAGAGCATGTCGCAAACTAGTCTCATAGTAAAAAAATTTCGTTGTTTTAGTTCTCCGGCGCCGGAAACGCCCGCGTGGCTTGCCGGAGGTGCGCTGACCTGGCGGACACGTGGGTTTTTTATTTTATTTTTAATTTTTTTTAAAACTTATTTTTAATTTTATTTGGTCCAATTAAAAAAATTAAAAAAAATTAAAAAAATAAATAAATTCACGTGTCCGCCAGGTGTCGCTGACCTGGCGGGACGCCTGGCTGACACGTCACCTCCGGTGAGCCACGCAGGCGTCTCCAGCGCCGGAGGACTAAAACAGCGAAAAATTTTTACTTATGGGACTAGTTTGCTACATGCTCCATTTACGGGATTAAAATAACAAGAGGATTCAGTTACGGACTAAAAAAACAGTTTAAGCATTGTATTGAGCAGTAGAAATATTGAATGAGAACCAAACACCAAATGAATTGCAAATTTATTTAAAGCATTGACCCAATCACGCATATGCACGTATTTAAGAACAATACTATTTCAAATACTTTATTATATATTGTAGTCTTCGAAACAGATCATCAGATCTGGCAGAAAAAAAAAAAAAAAAAAAAAAGTGCAAAATTAAATGACTTGACCCACATCACGTAAATACTCAAATTTAAAAATCCATATTATTTCAAATTCTTTATTTATATAAGGTTATCTTATAAATTTTAGGTAAATTAGTATAAATCTACATATGGTTTATGAGAAAATTGTACGGAATTTCCTATTGTTTAAGTAGTTATGTTTCAAAAATTCTGCATATAATCCATTTTTTATTATTAGTTAATGGTAACTTGAATTTCTGAATTACAAGTTAGGGCCCGTTTAGCACAAATACTCTGAATTAATGGTGGAAAAAGGGATTTTATGTAGGATTTTTAAAGCTATAAAGAAGTTAATTGCCATCGTTGAATTTGGAACTCTGAACATAGCTTCTCTCAATTCAACCAAGTTGCCATAGGACGGGTTTTTGTGGTTAGTTCACCCTGGCGGGATCGCGACCCTTTGGTTCGAGTGTCCATAGACATCGTATGACACAATTTCTAAACAGAAGAGGTTCGTACAAGTTTTATAAACCATATGTGCATTTTATGTTGATTTGCCTAAATTTTAGTTGTATTTAATATAAAACAAATTTGCTTAATGTTAGCGTTGTGAAGTCAAAGTTGGAATCTGAAAGGTATTGTACAGCCAACCCTCGAGTATCGTCCAAATAATTTTATTTCGCTGCGTATTACGATTTTGACTTACACTTTTATATATATTTATATATTCTCTCTACAATCCACATCTGAAAAACTAGTAAAAGTACCCGACTTGCCGCTATTTTGATTGAACTGGGTCAAAAAATTGTATTTTGGTGTGATTTCTTGATCCTTCTTGATTTTCAATTTCTGTAATAACTTAAAATGTTTGTTTGGGGGTTTGGATGTTGAGTTGGGATTTGAATAATAAAAATTTTGAGTTTAAACAGTTATATGATACGATATAAATAGGTATTGGTGTGATGTTTTGAATGTAATATTAATTTTTAATATAATATAAAAAATAAAAAATATGTGTTTGATTTAATGTTTTTGAAAAAAAAAAAAAAAAAGATAAATAGTGTATTTAAAATCCAATCCCCTAACAAACACACCCTAAATAAAAAGTATTTTATGCAGAATTTAAGGTAAGACAATACAATTTTATGAAATAAATTTATGGCTTAATTATTTACTTAATGTGACCTAAAAAAAATAACCACGTCAAATTCTCATCTCAAAAAAAATAAATAAATAAATAAAAAATAAAATAAAATAAAGAAGGCAGCTACATATATATTGTTCAAATATGTATAAGTGTTATTGTATTCTCACCTAAGAGAGACACTCACCTAGAGTTCATAGAAGGGGTCAGTCAAATATTTATGTTATATACTTATAGTTATTATATATATAATTTATTTGATTTACTTGAAATTAAAAAAATATTGTAATTTTATGGTCCTAGGTTATTTTGCAGTGGTAAAGTAGATTCTAATTCATAGAGTTACAAATTTTTGAAATTTTTTTAATACTATCTTTCATCTAAAAATATTAGGAAAAATATTTTATTTAATTATTTAAAATTTTACTATAAATAAAAAATATTATTTATATATATTTAGAAGTCACTATTTTTATTTTATCCCGAGCCTTTAAAAAATTAGAACAGAACCTAGATGAGATGGTCATTTAATACGGTAACTATTCAACTCATTTGTGCTTCGGTCAACTCACGTTATATATAAATAAGTAATATACTGTCATGCCCACGATATCAAATAATAATAATAATAATAATAATAATAATAATATAATATAATATAATGTCACGGGTTTGGTAAGTACATATGTAAATGTCATTGTGCATAAGCTTCAATCGTAAAGGATCGATTGGTGGTAGATCTGAACTTTTTTTTAAATTTTGAATGGCGAGTTCTGTTGATGTGATATCGTCTTGTCTTCTTGGCATCGCCGGCGCAGATCTCCGGCGACCGGCGATCCCGACAACCGTGGAGCTAACCGTATGGGATCTGGTCCAACTTTGGCGCGACCCTATCCGGGAAGGGATTCTATTCACCGGCAGCCCCGGCGGCGACTTCATCGATCATCTCAAAAATTCACTCTCCTGCACACTCGATTTCTTTCCGCAGCTCTCGGGCCGCCTTTGCGTCGTTAGAAATGACGTCGATGATGGCACCGAGTCTTACTTCATCGATTGCAACAATGCCGGAGCTGAATTCATACATGCCGTTGCACGTGGAGTGTCCGTGTCCGATGTTGTCGAGCCCAAATACGTGCCTCGGATAGTGTCGTCGTCTTTCTTCCCGATGAAAGAAACTTTGAACTGCGAAGAGCTTTGGAAGCCTTTGCTGGCCGTGCAAGTGACCGAGCTCGACGATGGATTCTTTATCGGCTGCACGATTAATCATGCCGTCGCCGACGGGGCGTCTTTTTGGCACTTCTTCAATTCGTGGTCGGAAATTGCCCGTGGCTTCGACACGATATCGAAAGCCCCGGTTTTTGATCGTTGGTTCCCGAGAAAGTTTGTTGATGAAAATAGTCGGATCCGTGTTCCACCGTCAGATAAAAATCCAACGGCCGCAGCAGCTCCTCCTCCGCCCTTGATCGAAAGAGTTTTCCACTTCAGCAAAGAGAGTTTAGCCGAGCTAAAAAATAAGGCGAGCCCGGAATCCGGATGCGCCGCGAAAATTTCAACGTTTCAAGCTCTAGCATCTCATTTATGGCGAGGCGTCACACTCTCACGACATTCAGAAAATATTATTTCAGAAGAGCCGCAACTGTTTATTCTACTGGTCGACGCAAGAGCAAAAGTGCCGTTGCCGGATAGCTATTTTGGCAACGTGATTCATCCCACTTTCGCGGTGCTTACCAAGCATGAACTTCTACACAACGGGCTAGAATTTGTCGCCGGGAAGATCAACGAATTGGTTAGTCGACAGACGAGGGAAGCCGTGATCAAGTTTGTGGAAGATTGGGTCGAGAAACCGGTGATCAATAGAAAGGGGTCGGTGAAATTTGTCATTGTTGGTTCGCCGCGCTTTGAGGTCTATAGCTGCGATTTTGGATACGGAAAACCGGTCGCCTGGAGGAGCGGCGGAAAGCAGAAGTTCGACGGGAGGGTGACGGTTTATCCGGCGGCTCAAACCGGCGGCATCGATGTCGAAGTTTGCTTGTCGCCGGCGGCGATGAAGGCCTTGGAGGATGACGTCGAGTTCATGGAAGCCGTGACCATTTGATTTGAACCATTTTGCTTGTCAATCGTTGATGTTATATATATATTTTTTTTTAACGACGTGGGAAACTGCTGCCGCTACTCGAAAGTGCGCATTGGATAAACTTCGATCGAACCTAATATCCTGCAAACTAGGCCCGACAAGCAAGTCATACTAGACGAACCATGTGTGACAGTTGACCTGAGCCGTGTTGATGTTATATTTTTGTTTGTATTGTATTGTGTTTTTTGTTTGTTTTTTTTTTTTTTTTTTTTTTTTTTTTTTTTGTATCATACACATCGGAAATTTCCTCAAACTCAAGCACACACTCACGACTTGAAATCGAACATAAGATTTGGCCCTCAAATGAGAAATGTCTCACCTTTTATTTACAATGATTTGACTATATTGTATCTTTGGTTATGTTCTTGTGAGATCATCTTGATATCTTCACTATTTTTTTACTTATTTTTTCTTTCTGCTACATCGGTGGAGATTTTTTCTTTTAATATTTTATACTCATTCCAACTTTTTAAATTTAATTTTTGTTGTCATATTTTTATTTGTAATTAATTAAATTTTTTTTTCAATTTTATGATTTATTAATAATTTGTGGATTAAAAAAATATATAATTTATTATTTAATTAAGTTTAATTTTAATTTATTTTTAATTTTATTATGAAGTTATTTTGTTATTGTTAATTTTTTAAATAAATTTAATTAATATTTATATGTATATATTATAAATTTAAATTAATAAAATATATTCAATATTGGTGTTATTTTATAAAATAAATATTTTTATGAATTATAAAAGTATTAAAAATTAAAATATAATAATATATTTAATATAAATTAACAAAATAATTTTTATATATATGTATATATAATATGCATATACCATGTGTCCTAATTAAAATGGGATATATCTCCAATTTTTTATTTTTTTCATTTTAAAAAATGTTGAGGTGGCGCATATGCAAACAGGAATCCCCAACACATATGGTGGTACCATGTCGGATGCAGAATGACCGTCTCATCTAAAAGTTTGAATTGTTAGAGAAACACAGTAATTAATATTTATTCGCAAACAGGAGTCTTCAACATTTACTACTTCAAAAGAGCCGCAACCGTTTATTCTATTGGCTGATGCAAGGCCAAAATTGCCATTGCCGAATGGCTATTTTGGTAACGTGATTCATGCCACTTGGATGGTGCTTACCGAGCATGAACTTCTACACAACGGGTTAGAATTTGTTGCCGGGAAGATCAAAGAATTGGTTACTCGACAGACAAGGGAAGCCGTGTTCAATACCATAGAAGTTTGGGTCGAGAAACCCGCGATACTTAGAAAGGGGACGACGAAATTTATCGCTGTTGGTTCGCCGCGCTTTGAGGTCTATAGGTGCGATTTTGGATATGGAAAACCAGTTGCCTGGAGGGGTTCATTTACCTACCCTCAATGTATTGTGCTCCTCCAATACCGATCAATCACCATCCACCACGTGTATTTAAATTTTGTATTTTATTAATTTTTCATAATTTTTTAATTTTAAACATACACATGGCGGATGGTGATTAGTAAGCACAATACATTGGGATAGGGTAACTGAACTCGTTTGAAGCTATTAGGTCTAGCCGGAGATTTACGCAAAGCATATATATTTAATAGCGGTCGCAAATTTCCAAGCTATAAAATAAATAAATTATTAAATAAATGTTAAATTCTCTCCCTATCTTAATTCAATGTATCATTTTTATTATAATAAAAGTAATCGAGACAACTTAAGGGTGTAGAGAGTATTTTTCACTTGCTGTTGGCTGGAGAATGCCAAAACAACATATCATCACGTGGCAAACTAATGAACATAAAGTTGTAGGCTAGGGTTGCTATCCTATGTATTTACATATATATATATATATATATATATGCTTACTTTATATAAGGCAGTGTAGAGTAGGTGTGCATCATAATTGTTGACCATGTTGAATAACTGTAAAATAAATTATTAGATTTGAATTTTTGAATTTGAAATTTCGAATTCAAAATTCAAATTCAAAATTTAATAACAAGATTATGAGACTTTGATTACGAGTTTATTTTAATCTATATATATGCCTCAAACTTTGTAAACTAATCCAATTCTCACCATCATCTTGTTCAATAATAAAAGTTCATCCCATTATAATAATAATCTAAAAAAAAAAAAAAAAACCAACAATAATTTCTTCTCAATTGGGATTGGCTAGCTTTTGAATGTATTATTCTTAGAAGTATTATTCATTTTGTTGTCATAAAAAAAATCAGGCCTACTCGGTTGGTCGGTCGGTGTCGATACAAAATAAAAAGGGCTGAACTAGAAATTGCAAATAGCAAAATACAAAACAATGGAATTTAATTAGTTGAGCTGAAATGATGCAAAAACATAACAAGAAGAAGAAAAAATAAGAAAGCAATAAAAGTAGTTCCGTGAGGGATTGCCGAGTGGTGTGAGGTGGACTCGTGACTATGTGATTATGAGTTCAAATCTTCGAAAAATAAAAGTTGCGTATTCTCACGTCATAAAAGATAGGTGATGCTCTTCTGATTTCAGGTAGAGATGACAATTACGAATCGACTCAATTTTTTTTCTTCCGATCTAAAATTTTACATTAACTATATAATTATTTTTTGATTTACTTATATATTTAAAAATATTTAAATAAAAAACTTATTCTATAAATCGTGCCGGGCCTGGTTAGCAGAGGCTTAATTAGGTATGACCTGGCCAGATATTCAACTGTGTCGGGCTGGCTCGATCCTATAAATAACTGTTCGGACTTAATTTTGATTATTCTATAAATCTTGTCGGGCCTGGTTCGCACAGGCCCATGTATGTCCCGGATTTTCAATCGTGCCATGCTGGTCAAGCCCTATAATTATTTGGGCCTAATTTTAAAACCCAAGTACTTATTTTTCGTGCCTTACTCGATGCAGTTTTTGTATTTATTCTTGCTAGCTATAATTCCAAGCCTCCAAATTTTTACAACCCAAGTTCTCTAACTCTCGCACTTTTACGCACTTTCATAAGTTATCACACAAATTTTTACCACCCGAGTTTTCTAACTCTCGCACTTTTACGCACTTTCATAAGTCATCACACGTTTGAAATTATGGTCCTTCTCCATTTATGTGCTTTTACTCAATCTGCTCTCCTTCCACCTGATCCGTTGAGCCTACGGGCTCTTCGACTTGCCCGAGTTTTGGGCTTTTTTATTTGATGAGTAACAATGTTATTCAAGAAACAAGCCCACCCTTAATTAAAATTTTGGTTTCGCCACTCGACAGACCATCTGTAAAATCTTGGTATGGGCCCTTAGCAGAATCTTCTATAAAAACCTGAAAGATTTGTATTTTTTATTGGCTAAATTGCATACAAAATTTATATGTAGTTTTACGAAATTGCGTTAAATCTTTCATATTTTAAAAATCGCATCTAACCTCTTCGGCCGTCTTTATTTAACAGTCTTTGACCTGCACACATCCACAATGCAAATAAGTTTTAGAATCTACATTTCTAAACCTTTAAAATTACAAATATACTCGTTATATTTATTATTTAACTTTAATAAACAATAAATATACTCATAAATATTTATTTTTCTCTAGTTTTAACTTTTTTTTAATGTTTTTTTAGGCTAACTACTAGAGAAATGAATATATTTATAAGTTTAGAAGTTTAGAAATTAGTATTCTGAAATTCATTCGCAGTTTGAAGCGTCGTGCATGTCAAACACCGTTAAATAAGGACGACCGAAGGGTTAGACTCAAAGTTTATGAAACCACGAGAAAGTTTGAAGCAATTCTGAAAGTACAAAGGGATTTTGCATAATTTTGTGAAACCACGAGTGAATTTTGTATAATTTAGCCTTTTCTATTTGGATTTACACATGTCAATCATGGAACAAAAGAGTAAATTCATTAATTCATTAAATCAATTTCATCCTCAATCACTTCCCCCTCCAAGCTTGTTTATTTGTTTGGATAAATCTATTCCAATCCATTCAAGTCATCATCTTTAGATTTCCCTTTATGTTTATTCATTGGTTCTCACTACTACAAAAAAGAAGTTGAATAGTTGAGTAAATTTATCGCAGATTTTAATTTGTAATAATTAAAAGTTATGAAGAACAATTCGTGGCACATTTATGTCACAACTTTTTATTTTGACTATTCCGTAGGTAATATTTGCAAAAAAATTACAAATAACTTTCGGTGACTATTTGAAATAACGGTTTATGTAATGAAAAATATCCAATATATTTCTATTATATGTATTTTTTTAATATTTTGTCACAAATATTGTCACGAAATTTTTTCGTGACTAATTTAAGTTGCGGCATAAATAACAAAAATATTTGCAACATTTTAATTATTAATTGTCAGTGGCTTTTTAAAGTCATATCATATGTAACGAAAATAACCACAATTTTTTTATTACCATTCATAGGTATTTAAAGTAACAACAAAATAACAAATAATATGCATAGCATTGATAAATATTTATTGGCTACGGATCCGGTGGTGACCCGATATGCTGATTTGATTGGGTTAACATATCATATAAAGACATTCAACATATATTATATATTATCATTACATATTTATGATACAACATATGTAATATTATAATTAATATATGATATTTTATAATACAGTCTATGTTGTGTTATACAAATATATATATATTGTATGTCTTTATATATGTGATATGTCGATTGATTGCATCAATTAACACCTGGTCTGGGCTATATTTATTACACATTTATCTTTTGCATCATTGTACTTAATATTAAAAATATTTTTATATTTGTATAATTTTTTTTACAAATGTTCTTCTACTAGTGTTATAAGACACTAATGAAAGTAATTTTATAATTTTTTCTTAATTTGTACTACGTTTTGATATAATAATTAATATTCAAATATCAACACGCAAAAAGTAAATGAGACCCTTTGGAGCCGGACGGAACTAGGAGGTAGGACTATATATAAATACAAAGATTACATCTTTAATATTCATTCAATGCTACCTTTGTAACATAACTTAAAATATTTACGCAGTTTTATTCATATATGTATGTGTGTATATATATATATATATAAATAGCACACATTACTGAGTATATATGTCATTTTGTATAAACTTTACTTGCAAAGGATCGACTCCTGGTAGATCTATACCTAATTTTAATTTCAAATGGCGAGTTCAGTTGACATGATATCATCTTGTCTTGTCGGGATGGCTGGCGCGGATCTCCGACAGCCGGCTATCCCAATAACGGTGGAGCTAAACGGATGGGATCTTGTCCAACTTCGGCGCGACCCGGTCAGGGAAGGGATTCTGTTCAACGGCTTACCCGGCGGCGAATTCATCGATAGTCTCAAGAATTCACTCTCCGGGACACTCGATTTTTTTTCCGCCTCTCTCAGGTCGCCTTTGCGTCCTTATGCATGACGGCAACGAGGGCACCGAGTCTTACTTCATTGATTGCAACGATGCCGGAGCTGAATTCATACATGCCGTTGCACGTGGAGTGTCTGTGTCAGATGTTGTCGAGCCCAAATATGTGCCTCCGATAGTGTCGTCGTTCTTCCCGAAAAAAGAAACACTTAACTGCGAAGAGCTTTTGAAGCCTTTGTTGGTGGCGCAAGTGACCGAGCTCGACGACGGATTCTTCGTCAGCTGTGCCATTAATCATGTCGTTGCTGACGGAGGGTCCTTTTGGCACTTCTTCAACTCCTGGTCCGAAATAGCCCGCGGCTTGGACACAATATCGAAAGCCCCTTTTTTTGATCGTTGGTCCCCGAGCAAGGTTCTTGATAAAAATAGTCGGATCCGTGTTCCACGGATTGATCGAAATCCAACGGCCACGGAAGCTCCTCGTCCGCCCATGCTCAAAAGAGTTTTCCACTTCAGCAAAGAAAGTTTAGACAAGCTGAAAATCAAGGCCGGCTCGGAATCCGGATGCGGCGCGAAATTCTCCACATTTCAAGCTCTATCAGCTCATTTATGGTGAGGCGTAACATGCTCGCGACATTCGGGAAGTATTACTACTTCAAAAGAGCCGCAACCGTTTATTCTATTGGTCGATGCACGACCAAAATTGCCGTTGCCGAATGGCTATTTTGGTAACATGATTCATGTCCCTTGGACCGTGCTTACCGAGCATGAACTTCTAAACAACGGGTTAGAATTCGTCGCCAGGAAGATCAACGAATTGGTTACTCGACAGACGGGGGAAGTCGTGATCAAGGCCATGGAAGATTGGGTCGAGAAACCCGTGTAGTCAGAAAGGGGACGTCGAAATTTATTGTTGTTGGTTCACCGCGCTTTGAGGTCTATGGCTGCGATTTTGGATTCGGGAAACCGGTTGCCTGCAGGACCGGCGGAAAGGAAAAGCACGACGGGAAGGTGACAGTTTATCCGGCAGCTCAGCGCGGAGGCATCGACGTCGAAGTTTGCTTGTCGCCGGCGGCGATGAAGGCCTTGGAGGATGATGTTGAGTTCAAGGAAGCTATAACCATTTGAATGATAGTAATGATATTAGTCGGATCGTATCTTCTGTCCCATTAATACTCCCTATCCCCTATCCTCACATACATAGTATATATGCATATATACATGTATATATATTATATATATACATGTGTATGTATACACATTATATGTGTGCGGATAGAGGAATAAGGTTTAGTTCTGGGATAGAGGATCCCATGGGGATATTAGTACTTGCAATTGTGTTTATTTGTTCATGTTGAATAAATCCCAATAGTCATTTTAAATAATAGAAAATTATATATCACATTTAATAATCAATTTAGAGAAAATTTCACAATATATCTTTACATATATCCAAATTATAGCTCTTGTCTTACAAATTTTGTGCTAATAATTTATATCTTACACCTTCCTAAAAATTGTAATTTTTGTATCCCATATTGCTTTTGTTTCTATTATTGCGTTATTTATCATAACTACTATTACACCAAGGTTGCAAGATTAGGGATTGGCGAACTTTTTCGAGACCCTGAGCAAAAGACATATTTTAGACCTTATAAATACACTGTTAAATCTATTTTCAAAACAATATCACTAACGTTGGTGTGAGCTGGATAAGAGGTTGATGACGGTGATCCGGCGGTGTCGATTCAGGAGAAGATGTGAGGTGTATCGGCAGCGTTTCATGGTGGTGTTCGAAGGTTTAAAAAATGAGAAGGCTGAGGGAGGGAGAAAGAGAAAAAATGGCAGGTTTGATCTAGGTGGGTGGGCGCGGCATGGTAAAATGTGAACGAGATAGATTTAGGCGAAAATTAGATTTGGAAAAATGAGGTGTTAGAAAGAAAATATAGAAAAAATATATATAATTAAAATTGAATTAGATAATTCAGAAAACAAAAAACTATAAACTATAATTTATAATTTAATTTAAAATTTTAAAATTTAGTAATAATAATAATAATAATAATAGGATAATATTTTAAAAGTACGAGTCTTCTTTTAATTAAGAGCTCGAGCAATTGCTCACCCAACTCCTACTAAAGTTGACTGCGATTAGGGACATAGGTAAAATTATAAGTATTAGCCCATGGAAGAATCTCTATTGAGTAATTCTTTTTCAACATAATCATTATTTGTCAAGAAAGAAATAATAATAATAATAATAATAATAATAATAATAATAATAGAGGATGAATCAGATATTGAATTGGATTGTACTGAATCATGCCGAATGCTTTAAATATAATACCTTAATTTATACCATTAAATTATATAATTAATATAATTAAAGTATAATGATATTTGAAGGTATTCAGCATATTTCAACATGATTCAATTCAGCATCCAATCCACTGATAGTTAATAACCAATTTATGTGTCCGATCAGAAAAAAAATAATAACCAATTTATGTGGCTTAATCATGGTTTAATGGTGGCTTAAAATAGAAGATTCATAAGCTTACAAATTAGAGACATCAAAATGGGTTGAGCCCGAGTTGGCCCGCCCCGTCTTACTGTTAAGGAAGGTTCGGTTGTGATTTTTTAAGCCCGTTGAAATGCGGGCCTAAATGGGCCAACCCGCATTAGCCGCAGGTTGAGGGTGGATTAGCCCGCAGGTCAAGTAAATATAATAATTAATACTCACTCGTCTAACTAAATATATTTTTTTATCTTTTTTACTGTCATATTAAAAAATTATAATAAGACTAATCAAATATTAGTATAAGAATATATTTTAATTTTTTATAAATTACAAACATACCATTATAAATAAGTTAAGACGAATAAAATAAAATTTATATTATCATTAACTTAAATGAATTATCAATATTGTCTACACGGTTGTTTCTCTTCTCTAACTATGTTATTCATGACATTGTTATTTGTTTCGATTTTTCATCATTTGTTTTGTTCGTCTTCCATTTTATTATTTTATAATTTTAAAAATTCATAAAATTAATTATTATTTATTTTTAAAATGATGTATTTTTTATTATTAATTTTTTAAATACACCCATTAATAATATTTAGAATTGAGAATTTTTATATTTGTTATTTATTTTAAAATATTTATTATTTAAATTCTACAATAAAACTATTTTTAACTATTTTTAAATATTAATTACGAAAATATTTATAATATTAATATTCTTTTAATATTTTTAAAAAGTCCGTGGGCTAGCCTGCTTAGCTCGCCACCCGCCAGTGGGTTGGATTAGGCTGATGAAATTTTGATCCGCTTCGCCGCGGATGGACCCGCACACAATACGCTTATTTGCGGGTTAAGGTGGATTGTGGATCAATTCGTCCTACTAACCCGTTTTGACAGATCTATCACAAATTTATGTCGTTTAATCATGACTTAATTGAGGCTTGAAATGGAGGATCCATAACTTCAAACTAAGAGATAAACACAAGCAAAGTGTAGTACAACATTTGGAAGTTGTCGTAGTCAAAGAGTAATTGTTGTAATTTTCTTCTTCTTGATTGTTAGTATTTCCTAATTTGGTCGCCCTCGACGAAAATAGTAATAATGTGCTTTCATTTTCTTCATACAGCGTGTATTGTGTTCCAAAATATACATGGTACCAAATCCTAAAAGATCTGTGTTTTCCATTTGGATTTACACTTGTCGATTTATCGTGGAATGAGTAAATTAATTATTCATTATCAATCACGCACCCTCCAAGCTTGTTTATAAATTTCGATAAATCTATTCCAATCCATTCACGTTGTCATCAATTATTGCCCTTTCTGTTTATTCACTTGAAAACAAAAAATTTAAAAAATTTAAAAAATAAATAAATATACAATGATTAGAACATTAAATCAAACAATGGTAATTTAAAATGCAAGTTCTATAAAAGAACACACTCTACTTTAACAAAGATTTCGACACTGAATGTTGAATCAATCTGAATAAAATCATAAGCAAAACTTGTTAGTTTTGCACTTTAAACCAATGCTTCTACTATTTCATATGATTTATAATAAAAAAAATACATAATTTTTCTTTAAAAACATCGTGACATCAAAATTCTGTTTAAAATTTAGAACACAAATAAAAGACTCGAGCTCAAACAGAAACATGCTTGCTTTCTGAAGGATGGGCTAATGGCGAAAAACAATATAAATAGACGTAATCAATGACTAGACGAATAAGCAACCTAGCTCGCCATAGAATTGATGCACGAACTCGCTCGCTTTGGTCTTCAAATAAATCACTAGAATTTGATAAAAACATGACTAGTACCTTGACCACCATATGTGTAGCTAGGCAACGAATTTGATAATTGTTAAAATATAAAATTGAAATTCTCTATTTCAATTATAAGAATTCTCTCGTATTTATAATGACATAGAAATCATCTAAATGATATAAGAAACTTACAAATTTCTTAAATAAGATAACTATTATAAATATAATATATATTTTCTAAATATATTTTAACAATGATGTCGATTAGACTCGCAAACTTTCTTGAATTCGATTAACTAGGATTGGGTGGATAAGTAACTCGTTCGACAAACTCGCTTGGTAGCAAATTTTTTTATCATCAAATTCAACAATACTCCATTATTCAAACACCACAAACCAAAAGCAATTCTCTTCCTCTCTCTCTCCTCTAGCCTCCTAACACAATTTAATCTCCTCATGTTTCGTCGTATCTCTGAAATATTAGGATGTCACCTAATTTAAAAAAAAAAAAAGTTATTTTATTTTTGAAAATATTACGCCAAGAACAGGTGACACTATCGTAATGTATTCATGTTACGGAAAGAGATTTTATATTTTTTTTATACATGAGGTGTTGCTGATATATATTTTGTGTGCCGTCAATACAGTAACAGCCGTCCAAACAAATGTCTACTTTTTTTTTTTATGTTATTTTGATACTTCCTCTGTTATTAAAGTAAAAAACGCTAGCATTCTTTATTTGTCTGTCATATAAAAATAAGTTTATTTTGTTTTTTGATAAAATAACAACAAAAACAACCAAAGCGTCCTCAATATCCGTTACAAAAATTTTAGCTAAATCTTTTTCGTTACTATTTAATATTATATATGACATATATAATGAAACACAATATCTTGATTGTTACATATATTTTCATAAAGTTTCTCCATAACTATTTAAAGTCATAGTATAAACTATTTAGCTTTTATTTATTTAATTAATGCATATTAATTTAATTTATTGTAGATATTATGATAAAATATTATTTGCGAAAATTTACTGGCATCATAAAAATAAAAGATTAAATTAGTATAACACTGAAAAAAATTTATGATGTATTAAAAAAATAAAATGATCGAGTGAGTCCGGGTTACAACGAAAGATAGAAAATTGGTCGGAATGAAATATTTTTTTTAAAAAAAAAAAAATGGTTTGTTTTTCACCCACACACACATCCCATGGGAATTGTATACCAAAGGATTCAACAGCTTGAACTATACACCATCAATTTTAAATAAAAATGGTTGATGGTTAATGGATAAAATTCAAGAAGCCTACATGTAGTACTAAACAAATTCAAACACATTAAAAAAATAGAATTTTGATAAATTTGAAAATTAAATTGATAAGATCAAATTTTTTGTTAAATAAGTATGTAACAATATATCCAATACATATTTCATGGGCAACAATATTTATATAGTAAAAATATGAAAATTAAAAATAAAAGCAATTATTTATAAGGAATAACTAGGCTAAATTTTCTTCCAAACATAATAGTTTGCAAAGTAATTTAGACTAAACAAACTATTTGTGGGAAGCAAGATTTGAAGGCGTCAGTGGTTTAAATACTCGATATCGTCAAGTCATTCCTTAGATGACACGTGGCTTACCATGTTGCGAATCGTGTCCGTAATATTATCCCGTGACTATTTTTATTGGGCATATTTTATGGTAGTGATATATATATATATATACATATGAAGATCATCTTTGTTCTATAGAAATGTATCGACAAATGTAATAAAGTCAAGAGTTTTTTTTTTTTCTGAACACTGCAAGAAATTATCA